CTATAGCCTCAATTGTAAGAGATTATTTTACGTAATTGCTCTGATACTATTTGTGTCATCCCAAATACTAATTAAAGCATAAGGGTGTCAGATACAAAAATATATACGAGTACATTTAAGATAATTATACGCAGCATAATAAAATATTACAATCCCTTAACAAAATAATAATAGAGTTTCAAATCTTAAAATACTGAGGCGAAATAAAATTAAACACAAGTCTCTACAAAAGGTGAACTCATCAGAGTGCAGAATAAAACATACTCTCATAATGGTTCACAGATCCACAGGATCCTCAAAAGCTTCAATAGGTAGGTCAACGATCGGTTCCTTACTATCGTCCTCATCTGAAAGGGGCATAGAAAAAGGGTGAGTTCTATACACTCAGTAAGAAAATTAGCATTTAAATAACATCACTAAGATTTAAGAAGTAGTTAGACTTGAAAATAGTACCTCATAACTGGCCATCAGGAACCGTGTTAGAAATCCATTTCAATAACTATGAAAACAGTTACTTTATTTAAAGAAAAATATTAATATCAAATCAATTATATCAAATCATGTCATAATCATATTAAATCCTATCAATAATATCATGTCAATTATATCAATCATACCGTAATTCAATAGAGAAAATCAAATAAACCATGTCATCCTTTTGTTTCATTTTATTCTTCGCACAAAGTCTTTCCAACTTCCATCTATTGAGGGCAATACGAATTCCTGACTACCCATGTGGAATGACTAATTTATTTAATATCATATCAACAATTTGCGGCTTATTAAACCATCAGCACATTTACAACTTGCCAAACCATAATACGTTCTATGACCATGACCGTGCCAACTACAATGGTCTTATATGTAAACTGTAATCAGGGCTGTATATCGTCAAAGGTGATTTCTACAATCATATCGCATCAACACTTTCTTCAAAGGGTAAGCCGTCATCCATAAGGAGCGGTTCTCTCACGTCTTTTCATACCATAAGGGGGAGAAACAGAAACTCTCATAAATAAAAAGCCTAACAAATCATGTTATTTAAATACCATGCATGCCAATATCGATAAATATTTCTCGTGTTTACAATAAAATATCATGTTTCATCACTTTATCGTGTCATCATATATGCTTTATTTATTTATCTATACATATAATATAAACATGCATTAATATTTATCGTATGCATAAATAATCATAACAATAACTAAGCATGCAAATAACTAGTTTATATCCATTAGATATTCTATTTAATTAATCTAGAAATACTTCTTATAATGTAAAGATAAATACTAAATTTCTTAACGAAACTTGAAGTTTTTCCTACGTCCTTATTTCTTCTATTCATTCATCTTCTCTCTTTAACTCTCTCTTTCTCTAGAATTTCTATGGTGAAAGGAAGAATGAAGTTGGAGTGGTGAAGAAATGATGGAGAAGGGTCTTTATTTACAAAAAATAAGGATTATTAGATTTTCACTAAGAGGTGAAATCCCGTGAGGAGAGAGGGAGGAAAAAAAGTGACTTGATGCGATGCAATAACTGATGGACGCAACTGATGGATGGCTGACACGATGATGATGATGCGACAGTGGTGTAAAAACTGAAGGCACATTGCCCAAACAGTAGTAGCATGTCGTCCGAATGGCAGTGCACGCCCCTAAGGGGCAGCACGCACCGCCCAAGCCTACAATGTGCACATGCCTACTCCACGCAGGTGGCTCATACCACGTGCGCTGGCTGAGTGCCTACGCGCATAAGCACGAGCACAGGGCACACGGAGCCGCGCGCCTCGCGCTTCTCATGGATGGGAGATGTGCACTGGTGCACGTCCCTTGCTAGTCGTGCACGCGTGCGAGGGCACGCAGCTCGCGAGATCCACATAGATGGGGAAAATTTTCCTGCGGCCCTTTCTGCGGGATTTTTTTGGCATTTTCCTTCTTTATTCTTCTTGAAATTTTTAATTTTAATAAATGATAAAAACAAATTTGTATATAGGCAAAATAAATGCGTAAAAATTAAATTTATTCGTAAAA